CTCATATCACTTGCTTATGAAATTTCTTCATCTATACTTGAAAAGATATATTGATTTTTGTGTTGTTTCCAGGCTATCCCTGATGTAGTTCTCAGCACAACAATTATGATTTTATGATGTTAGGCTAAACTATAAAGCAATCATTCTTTGTTTTAGGAAATGTTTCAGAGCTTCTTCAGGCATCTTAATGATGAGTTACTGAAACAAGAAGGTGCCCCTTTATAGCAATGTAGTATTAGGTTATATAGTTAGGGAAAACCTCTTAATAACAACGTACAATTAGATCTCCTTAATATCAATGTATTACAATTTTATGATATGATGTTATTGAATGAAATTGATTGTGTAATGGATTGTATTTTTTGTATATGGTATTTTATTTTCTATTATGAGACATGAAATGCAAATTTAATTTAAAAATTAGTAAATCTATAAATAATTTTAAAAAATAAAAAAAATAAAATTACGATACGCAAAAATGTGTGTCATCTTCATTTATGACATGGCCTTTCTTGACAACGGCTTTAATGATACGCATTGCGTGTTATAAATGCGCGTCGTAAATGCGCATCGTCTATAGACGACACGCAAAAGCGAGTCGTCTCTCGTTATGACAGGGTCTTCCTTGACGCGCATTTGCGCGTCGTCTGAGCGTTTTACGACGCGCAATGAGCGTCGTAAAAGGCCTTTTTTCTAGTAGTGATATAAAATTTAAAGCTTAGTGAGTTCCCCAAAATACCATATACCGTACATATTAGTAGGCCTAACCGAGGGATTTTTTAAACCATACGTAAATGTTATGATCCGACCATAGTCTTAAAACCGTTTCAAAACTATAGACATCTCTAGCCTTTATTCCATGATCCAACCATGGTCTTCCATAAAAGTCACAAAGATAAACAAGTGATGTGATCTCGCCATAGTCTTTCATACAATTATTACGATCCAACCACAGTCTTTCATACATATATTTTGATCCAAACACAACCTTTCATGCAAAAGTTAGAAACATAATATGGCAACCTACATAGTATAGTGAGAAAACTCACCTTACAGATGTAGTTAACAGTTAGTATCTCTCACAATCAATGAATCAAGTGATATACACCTCCTACTCCACCTTCTAAATCTAAGCGAATAACCAAAAGTCAACCAAGTCAAAAAGTCAACAATCAAAGTTAACTTCTGCGAGTCTCCACAACGTGGCCTCCTAATGGCTACGTCGTGGCAGAGTATGACAAAATAGCAGAGCATCCCCAACCCCCTCATCGTCGTGTCGTAGCGGCCAAAATGCCACATCATGGAATCTGGGTCTCAACATCTTAACGGATTAAGCTATTTTCCCTCTACACTAAGAGCTCCAAAGCTCAAATCTAGTCTTTTCCAAAGTGTTAATGGATAAAATTTTCCAACTTTATCAATTAAGTCATTGCAAGAAGTCAAGATCTCTACACCTAGGTCCTAAATGAGAACTTAAGGCATGAGCTTAACCAATAATCACTTAATCATCTAAGCTACAAGTCCAATAACTTCTAGAAGGATTTCCTACACCTAAAAAATCATAAAAATCAATGCTTTATCAACATGCATGTTCAATGCATGTCTCTAACAAATATGTCAAAACATGGAAGAAATGAAGTCAAACTTGTGCATGAGACCAAATACACCATATGAGTCTAGATCTAGAACATTTAACCCAAAAGGATCACGAGAATCCATAACGTTTCAAGCATTATGGAGTCCTTTCCTCTAACTTTCCAAAACACACAAAGAAAAGGGACAAAGAGCATGGATCTAGAAATATGCAACATAAAGCTTGGATCTTGAACACTTATGATGGTCCATAAATGTGCTAGTAGATGATGATGATGATGATGATGATGATGATGATGATGATGATGAGGCTTGCAAGATGAATCTTTGAGCTAAGGGCGCTTCCTTCTCCTTCAAGATGCTAAAAACACCACAAGATCTTCAAAAGCTCAACAATAGATGCTAGATTTGATTAGGGTTAGAAAGGAAGGTCTGGGAGGATGATGGTGTGCAAACCCTAGCTCATACTTTCCTTAAATATGGCCTAAAGCCCAGCCATAGTTAGGGGTTTGCCTTCATATAGTCGTCATGTAGTAGGCCATAATATAGAGTTGTGATTACATTGGCCATGCCACATCTTGGGGACACCTTTCCCACGTCGTAGCCATAAAACTCATAAATAAATTGTGAATTAATTATACCTAGAATTTCGGATGCTACAGTTATTCTCTTTAGTTCTTAACAAGTGTTTTCATTCTTTCAAGAAAAAATCATTTGTCTTCCTTATTTCTCTAACTTCCTCTTTTTCTTTGTAAGATACCTCTAAATGTGTCAATAATCTCTTTAGCATAATTGCAATTTTCCACTATATGATAAACTTCATAGGGTAGAGCACTACATATAGCCACCTTTGCTCTTACTTCAAGATTGACCAAATTCTCATCTTCTTTAGTCCATTGAACTCAAGTTGCTCAAATGGTTCTTGGAGGTTAATTACATTTCAACCATGGTTTGCTTGTGCATGTTTGGATCGTCAACTAGTATTTCCATCATTTGATAATCCATAATTTACAGCACCATCGTTGGATTGTTGAGCCATGTAATTAAATTGTTTTCTTTGAACAAATGGAATATTTTTTATTGAATGGGAGCTGAGAAAGATGGATTTGAAGAAATGAAAGACGTCATTGACTGAATCATGAATAGATCTCTTTAGATTATTCTAAAGTCTATTCTAACATTACTTTTTGGTCTCATGGATTATGATTCAACCAACACAAATAATAAACTAACAAGAAATCCTCAACATTAAAGACAATGAATCGAAACTTATTTTGATTGAGAGCACTCTTATTAAATTCTTGCATGGAGAAAATTACAATGTTTGCATAGAGAAGACTTACAATAAATAAAACCCTAGCACAACTTATATACTAGGTCTAGCTCTAAAACCCGCATAAATCAATGACTCTTACATAAACAATGAAATTGAACCTTAAGAGTTAATCCTAATCACTAAGATATCATATTGACTCAACAAACATTCATAGGCCATCTATAACTTCATTCTTGATATAGCTAATGACATCAGCTCGACACACTCACTAGTCCATCGGTTGAATAATATTCGTGGATGGATGATGAAGTACATAACTCATCAAGTAATTTTATGAGAATGAAGTTATAAAATAATCAGTTCATTTGATTCTTTAAGAATGAAAAACTTAATATAAGGTACAAGGAAGAAACGTAGAGGAACTACAATGGGAAGAAAAACAATTTTGGGAATTTACTTATCTACTAGTATTATTATAATGATAAGTGTTAGAGGATGTACCTAAGGCCACCTCCATGGCCAGATACTTTTATGAAAAAAATTAGTGGTAATTTACTTATTGTCGCTAATACCCTTGCATGGAAACACCCATGTCCTTGTTGTCATGTTTCCTAGCATGTCCCTTATTATTAGTATTTTTGCATTTTTATTTAGTTATTGTATTTATTTATCTTGTTGCAAACTAAAAGTTATTCATTTTAGTATGGTTACACCCATGTATCACATTTCCTAGTTTTTAGTTATTTGCATTGTTATTTACATAGATGTAATTGCTTTGTTTTGAATGGAGAAGAATTTGATGAAACTAATATCTCTTGTAACATCCCAAAATTTTAGGGTAAAAAATTTATTTTCAGTATAACTAAAACACTATTGTAACTTTGTTCACACATTGAAAAACAGTTTAAATAAAACATTTATCGAAGTTCATTCCCATAAATCACTTATTGTGGAAAAACATAGGTGTACGTGATACGATCGTCCCGAGCTCATTTATTTGAAAACTGGAGGTACTTGAAACCAAAAATGAAAACCGTAACCACGAAGCTTAGTGAGTTCCCCAAATCCATATACCATACATATCAATTGATCCATACATGCCATACATAATCGCGAGCCATTCATATATCATAATAAATAAAGGTGATATGTGTCGCATATGCAGTTAAAATCGCGGATTTCCAGGTGATATCCAGGTGGGATATCGGTTATCGACACTTCTTAAAATATCGGTATCAAATATCGGCCCATAATATCGGAACCGCGAATACCATCGATAATTACCAATATTTTGATTCATAAATATTGGTTATATCACCGATTTTCCAGAAATTTTATTTTCGGGCCAAATTCTAGATAAGCCCAAAAACATTGATTTTTTTGGAGTTAATTTATGTGGATCCTTAGCATATTAGCCCATACACGGATACACAATTACACATACACCTAATTCCCTAAAGCTGTAAACCCAAACTTAAACCTAGAATAAGTCAATCTGATCGTCTTTCTCTGTTTTCTTTCAACCTCCTTCAAGGCAGCAACAACAATTTCGATTTGTTTGGAACGTGCGACGACTCTTGTTCCATTCTTATTCTTCATTGAATGCTACCCTTCTGCCATTAAGGAGCTACGGTGCTGCCGTTTAGCCTGTTCTTTGTCTACCGAGCCACCGAGGTACCTTTCTTCTTTACTCCATCCTATTTTTTAATTTAAATAAGTAAATTAAGTTAACTACTGAAGCTATGATGCTGCCCTCGTACTGTTATAATACTACCCTCGCACCTTTCTTCTTCATTTATTGTTTTACTCAAAGGTGTTGTTACATTAACTATTTTATTTTTTGCAATCAGTTAACTGCTAGTGTTAACTGTTAAGTCAATGCCTCGATGGAAAATGGTATTAAATCGTATCTGATAATGCATTAATGTTGTTTTCAATTTGGCATAATTTGTTAAATACTTAGTTTTAAAGTAGATACTAGTTAGTATCTACAAGTTTGATAATATTTTTGTGTTATTGATTCTGTTTTTGAAACATATTTGACAATGAATGATCCATCCTCACATGCATCTGTAAACCCAACAAACACAAACACTGATACAATATCATCTGATGTTGGAACTAGAACAAAATGTTTGAATGGAGATATGGCATGGGGATGGGGAGAGTGGAGGGATACCTTGAAAAAACAAAGCATTTGGTGCACATAAGTGGAGGAATCACACGAGTTAAGCAACATCTTACTCATACCGGAGGACAAGTCACCGGTTGTCCGAATGTGACTGTGGATATCCAGAAGAGAGTCATGGCATCAATGAAAAAAAAAGATAGGATAAATATAGAAAATAAAAGAAATATACAAATACTTAGATCAAGCACGGTTGATCTTTCGGATGAAGTTGAGGATGAAGAATTTGATGTTCAAGAAGTTAGTGTAAAACGAAATGTTTCAAAAAAGAAAAAATTTGTGGGTTCTAGCAATGTAACAGAGCCTATCGATACAATGTTTCCGATTAATCAAGAAAAAACAAAGCAAATTACATTGGATAAAAATAATCCAATAAAAGAAAAGTTAAAGATGAATGCTTAGGATAAAATTTCAACTTGGGTTTATTCGGTTCATTTACCCTTCAATGTCGTGCGTGACAAAAGTTTCCAAGATATGATCTATTCAATTGAAGAATACGGAAGAGGTATTTCAATGTGATTAAAGATTTATTCATTATTTGATTATTACTTACATAATTAAGTATATGAATTTATATTAGGTATGCCAGCTCCATCTTATCATAATATTCGCGTCACACTGATGAAAAAATGTTTAGAACATACTCGAAAGTTTGTGGATTCGTTCTGTTCACATTGTGAGGAATATCGGTGTAGCATTATGTCTAATTTTTGGACAGACGGGAAAGGAAGATGTTTGATAAACTTCTTAGTTAGTTGTCCTCTTGGAACAATATTTTTTGAAATCAATTGATGCGTCAGAGCATGTGAAGAATGCTCAATTGATTGTGGAGATGATAAATGAGGTGATAAAAGATGTTGGAGATGAGAACATTGTACAGGTAGTTTTACTTTTCTAGTTTTCTAACTATTAATTGTTATTTAAACTTTTTGTTGATTTTACAAATTAAACTCTTTGTTTTTATTTATTAGTTCATTACAGACAACGGGTCAAACTTTAAAGCTGCCGGAAAGATTTTAGAAGAACAACATCCAAAGTTGTTTTGGACTCCTTGTGCAACACATTGTGTGAATCTCATGATAAGAGATATTGGTGAGAAAATACCAAAGATAAAGACAGCTCTGACTGATGCGAGAGCAATAGTGGTTTACATTTACAACCACGGGAGGATTCTTAATCTGATGAGCAAGTTGACAAAGAACAAGGAGTTGCACAGGTCTTGTGTAACTAGGTTTGCAACATAGTTTTATACTATTCAGAGTATCCAAGAGAATCAACATTATATTCAAGTATTGTTTGTTTCTGAAGAATGGAGGAAAAGTGACTTTGCAAAGAAGGCAGTTGGAAAGAAAGTCGAGCGAATAATGGCGAGAAAGGAATTTTAGGATAACATACACTTAGCTTGTTAAGTGCTAGCTCCTTTGGTAGATGTTGTCAGATTGGTTGATATAGAAGAGAATCCATGTATGACTTACATCTATAAATGCAATGGATAGAGCAAAGGAGCAAATCAAGAAAAATCTTACTGGGACGCCTAATGAAAGAATGATCACTAGAGTTTGAACTATGATTTAAACAACATGGACTGACCAACTTCATCATCCATTACATGCATGTATTAAACTGTATATTTATTAATTTAATAGAATTGCTTAGTTTTATTTATAAATCTTTATTGAATGTACAGTTGGATGTTACCTGAACCCTGCCATTTTTCATGGGGAAAATTCAAGGGAGATACGAAAGAACAGAGACATTGCGCATGACTTTATGTTGCAATTGATCGTCTAGTGCCTAATAATGATGACAATGATAAACTAAGGCAGGACTTGAACCTATACATTGATTCAATTGGGCAATTTGGATCTTTAGCTGCTTTAAGGGCTAGAACGAAAGTTGCACCATGTAAGTAAACTATTTTAAACACATTCACATGTTTTTATAGCCTTTTTCTATTAAGTCACTTTATTTATTTAATATTTGTAAAATGTAGATATATGGTGGCGTACTTATGGGATCGACACACCTTTGCTCCAAACATTTTCTATCACAATCCTTAGTCAAACATGTAGTGCTTCACCTTGTGAACGCAATTGGAGTGCATTTGACAATGTACGTTCTTTCTAACAAGTGCTTTTATCAATAATATCACATTTAACCTATTTACTTCATTAAATAATTCTATTATTTTTTATATGCAGCTACATTAATCAAAGAAAAGAAATTTTCTTTTACAACAAAAGCTCAATGATCTGGTATTCATCTAATAACACAAGGATACAAAGACGCTTCAACTCGTTAAAAGCCAACAGATCTTTAGATCCTATTTTGATGAGAGACGTAGATGAAAATGATGATTAGGTTATACCAACAGAAGTTGAGCTTCAAGAGTTTGTTGATGGTAGAGATGGTCTTCTTTGGTCAGCTGTGTGAGAGCCAATGGGAGGAACCGAAGTAGTTGGGGTAACTACTAGGAGCAAAAGAGATCGCTATAGAGATGATGATGATGATATTCGAGTTGAAGTGGAAGATCTTGATGAACAATTGGATGCCTTATGTGTCAAATAATGACTCTTTTTGAGCATGCTAGTTGCTATTATATTTATATATGTTTTAAACATTAACACTTTTTGAACATGCTAGTTGCTATTATATTTATGTATGTTTTAAACATTAACACTTTTTGAACATGCTAGTTGCTATTATATTTATATATGTTTTACGTTAAATGGTTATAATATTCATAATTTTCATAATATTACAATATCGATATCCCACCGCAATAACCTATATATCAAATATCGGTCCTTGACCGATATTTGATTTTGGACCACTATAACTGCATAGTGTGTCGCACATAGTCTTGCCATTATGCCACAGGCCACCTCGTGGTCTTTCTTGCCAAGTCAGGGGTCACCCCCTGGGTCTTACACACAAGTGCCAAGAGCCACCTCCTTGTCTTCCATGCAACCATACATACTACTCTTCTTAGCAAATTAGCATACAGTATGCCTGGAGCCACCTTCTAGTCTTTCATACATAATGCTAGGAGCCACCTCCTGGTCTTTCATACATAATGCTTAGGGCTAACCATTGGATCTTCCCACACTACATAAACCAAATGGTTCGGCATTGGTGCCTTCAACCCATACAAAACAATGAGGAGACTCACCTCACACTGCTAAAGTCTTGTGGATAAAGTTGTGGTTGCTGGCTGATAGATCCCTAAACTGTCAACATCATAACAACACCCAATTAATAATTGGGTTCCAATACATAACCATAAGTCCATGTTTGGGGTAAAAAGACTACATTACCCCCAAACTAGCTTGATCCTAACCCAAGGCCCAACATATGGCCCAATTTTCCAAATTGGGCCCAAACCCCTTACATGGGCCTTACCCAAATACCCATCCATATATCCCATCCATACACCTATTCTCAGATGGCCCAACAAGAACCCGATCACCTAAGCCTAAAATGGAAGGCTTAACTCAAAGCCCAAACAAAATTAGGGGTTTCCCATAAAATGACGATTAGGGTTAATTAAAAACGTGTAACCCATTAAGGACTTAATCCATTAAGTCCATCATTCTACTAGATCAATCATACAGTGTGGTTGGTCGTTATTCATAATTCAATTCCAATGGTCCAAAGTGCAGGTCCCCACAACTCCAAAACTAACATATCCAAAATTAGGGTTTCATGACATTAGGGTTTTCTAAACCCTAATTAGGGTTTACAACTCCTACGTTAGTTAATTAGTTAATCAAATAAATATATATGTGTTTATAAATCGGGCACCACCCACTGCCACCTTGGGTAGTGGTGGGTGGCGGTGGTCCATGGCGGCAGTAGGCGGCAGCCACCACCTCACGGTGGTGGTGGTCGGTTTTTCTTTTGTTTTTCTGACCAAGAACCAAACAGACTACCTTACACCATAAAAACTTACACTCACACACCATATCACACACACAGCCACCACTCACGGTGGCTGGTGGTGGCAGAAAGAGCAAAATGAGTGGTAACCACCATGGGTGGCTGCCATGGTGGTCCTAAAAAATCTTCGGCCAACCCAAAAAAACACACACATCCACTACACGAATTGTAGCAACAACACACACACAAAATACAAGCCCTGAGACTAAACTACCCACATGAACTCAGCCACTCTTGCGGAGGCAGGTGGTAACCGGAGGACAAAGAAAAAGGCAGCTGCTCGGAATGGTGGTGATGACGAAATGTGGTGTGGCACAAAAGAGTGAAGAAAGTGAGACGGAAGGCTCACACAATCAGGCATAACCTAAACAGGCCATCCAACCACTGGCTTGTAAGTTCTAGCATGCAAATCTTCAAGCTCATATAAGCATACAAAGGCATCTCTCCTTGATCCTTAACTATAATCTAGCATGCGAATCATAGAATCATATCATATCACATAACAAAGATGTATTGGTATTTTGGGAACAAATTACTTGAGCTCGGTCGATTACATGCATCACACCCCTTTCATTGCTTAGAAATTCTTTTGTAATTATATATTTATTTTTAAAAAATGAATTAAGCCCTCGGTTTGAGTTCAAGCATACCCAAGAGTATGTATGGATTCCTCAAACCAAGGCTTTGATACCAACTTGTAACATCCCAAATTTTTAGGGTAAAATATTTATTCTTAATATAGATAAAACACTATTCTAACTTTGTTCACACATTGAAAAGCATTTTAAATAAAACATTTATCAGAGTTCATTCCCAGAAATCACATATTGCGGAAAAACATAGGTGCCTGCACTACAATCGTCCCGAGCTCCTTTATTTGAAGACTGGAGGTACCTGAAACTAAAACTAAAAATCGTAAGCATGAAGCTTAGTGAGTTCCCCAAATACCATACCATACATATCAACTGATCCATACATGCCATACATAATCATGAGCCATACATATATCATAATCAACAAAGGTGCTATATGCCCCATATAGTGTTCCCATTATGCCACGGGCCGCCTTGTGGTCCTTCTTACCAAGCTGGGGACTACCTTTGGGTCTTACAGACAAGTGCCAAGAGCCATTTCCTGGTCTTCCATGTAAGCATCACGAAGACAACTAGCATACACATTTCTCTACTTAGCTAAGTAGCATACAGTGTGCTAGGAGCCACCTCCTGGTCTTTCATACAAAATGTCAGTAACCACCTCCTAGTCTTTCATACATAATGCCTAGGGCTAACCCATGGATCTTCTTACAATACATAAACCAAGTGGGCCACCATTGGTACCTTCGACCCATACAAATAATGAGGAGACACACCTCACACTGCTGAAGTCCCACAGAAAAAGTTGTGGCTGCTAGCTGACAGATCCCAAAACTATCAACATCAAAACAACACCCAATTAATAATTAGTTTCCAATATAAAACCATAAGTCCATGTTTCGGGTAAAAATACTACTTTACCTCCAACCTAGCTTTATCCCAGCCCAAGGCCCGACATATGGCCTAATTTTCCAAACTAGGCTTAAACCACTTACATGCGCCTTACCCTAAAGCCCATCCACATTTCCCATCCATACACCTGTTCTCAGATGGCCCAACAAGAACCCAAACATCTAAGCCCAAAAAGGAAGGCCCAACTCAAAGCCCAAAAAAAATTAGGGTTTTCACATAAAATAGCGATTAGGGTTAACTAAAAATACTTAACCCATTAAGAACATAATCCATTAAGTCTATCATTCTACTAGGTCAATCATACGGTGTGGTCGAGCGTAATTCTTAATTAAATTCCAATGGTCCAAAGTGTGGGTCACAACAACTCCAAAACTAACATATCCAAAATTAGGGTTTCATGACATTAGGGTTTCTAAACCCTAATTCGAGTTTACAACTCATAAGTTAGTTAATCGGGCAGTGGTGGTCGGCAGCGGTCCATGGCGATAGGAGGCGGCAACCACTACCTTACGATGGTGGTGGTGGGTTTTTCTTTTGTTTTTTCGGCCAAGAACCGAACATACTACCTTACACCATTAAATATCACACACACAGCCACCACTCAAAATGGCTGGTGGTCGTGAAAAGAGCAGAATGTGCGGCAACCACCATGGTTGGCTGCCATGGTGGTCCTAAACAATCTCCGACCAACCCAAAAAGCACTCACATCCACTAGACGACTTGCAGCAACAACGTACACACAAAATACGAGCCCCAAAACTAAAATACGCACATGAACTCAGCCACTCTAGCAGTGGCAG